TTATAGAATGATATGATTATGAGTATATAAGTGTTATAGAATGATATGATTATGAGTACATAAGTGTTATAGAATGATATGATTATGAGTACATAAGTGTTAAAATGATATGATTATGAGTACATAAGTTGTTATAGAATGATATGATTATGAGTATGTACATGCTGTAAACTAATGAAGTTATAAAATTCATATGAAATTCATTGGATACATTTAGAATATAATTTGAGATATATTATAGAATAAAAAAAGGGGAAAATATGTAAAAGTTAATTTTTTAAAACTTATAAAGCCATTATATATTTTCCACAAAATTAACAATTTTTTTCCTTTTCTCTTAAATTTAATTTAATTTAGTAATAAATTTTAAAATATTTTAAAGAAAATAAATTTTTAGCTCAAGATTATGGTTTAAATGAATTCAAAAATATTTCAATTGAGGATTGTAACAGTAATATACGTAAAATTATCAATGAACATTATCATACTGGTTGCGCTAAAAAACTTCATGATTCAACATTGGAACTTATCGCAAATGCTAGCTTTTTAAGGTTTTCGTTAATTTATCGTTATTTTATTTTAACTATCAACAGTTCATTCTATTCTCGCAATTTTTCAATCATTTATTCTCGATGTAATTATGCAAATTTATGCTAAACAAATCTTACATTAATATTTTCTAAATTATTTATTAATGATTAATTTAATCAGATATGGAAGTGTTATTTTTTAGCTTGATAAGCTAAATGTATTTTATGATTTAAACAATCATTTCAATGATATAAAGATTGTATGTATGCACATTAATTTGATTTGACCTAATTTTTGCGTGCTTTTAAGGATTAAATTTTATTAAATATATTTTCTTTTTAAGCAAGAATAAATTTAACAGAATTTTAAACTTAATTATTTTTCTTCCAATGAAGTAATTCATTAATTGATTAATTCAGATACATTGATACACCAGAAAATAATCGTACCTTAATACGTGTTGTATATGGATTACAAGATGTATGATTTTTTTTTTTTTTTTTTTACTT